GACACATACACACACACATACAGAGACACACAAACACAGATACGCCTACGTACACACAGAACACACACACCCCACAAGCACACACACACATACAGAGACACACAAACACAGATACGCATACATACACACAGAACACACACACCCCACAAGCACACACACAGACACACACCCACATACGTATACACTCAGACACATATACACTCAGACACATACAGAGACTCACACACCCCATACAGAGACTCACACATAGGCACACACACCCAAACAGACACACACATACCCCCCTACGCACCCTTACAGATACCCACAGCTGCTCATCGTGGCGTCTGACATGCACTGCCCATCGAGGTGACTGTGGCCACAGGTGGGGAGGCTAGCGGTACCCCTGCCCGTACCTGCCCGTAGGTGCCCTGCAGGGGTGTGGGCCCTGTCAGAATGGGTGATGTGACCCCGGGTCTGGGGACTGGTGCCCGTCAGCTCTGCGCCCCACTCACATGACTGCCCTGGGGGTCATTGGAAGAGCCGGCCTGTGCCCTGCTCTGGGTGGGTCCCACGTCCGGCAGGCAGGGCAGGGGCATCTCTGGCCTCCCTGCAGGGGGCACCTGCCGGGTCCCGGGTGAGGGGCCTAGATGGGACATAGGGAGCTGGAGGGGCCTGGCAGCCTGGGGCATGCGCCCCAGTCACGCTCCACACCGCTGCTGGCTTGGCCGCACGTTTCTCACCTCCTCTCTCTTATGCGGGGAGGCTTGGATTAGACTTTTCTTCTGTCCTCAGCCTGGGGTGCTGCGAGCGGGTCCCAGATCCAGGCCCCTGGGCCATGGCCGCTGGACGCCCCCCAGTCCGGCAGAAACTGCACAGCCGCATCCTTCGGTTCCTTCAGATCCTTGCTCAGGGGGGCGTCTCCCGGCCCACCCAGAGTCAGTATCGGAGTCGGGTGGGGGGTCTCGGAGAGGTTCCCAGGAGGGAGGGGGCAGGTGGAATCCCGGGGAGGAAGCGGGCCTCCCTCCCTCCCCCAGTCTCCCTCCGTCACCTCTCTCATCCTTCCCTTCCTCCTTCTCCCTCCTCCCTCCTTCCCTCCCTCAGTCCTCTCCTTCCTCTCCACCCTTTCCTTCCTCGTTGCCTCCTTCCTGCCCTCCCTTCCACATCTCAGCACCCCTCCCTGCTTCCCCTCCTTCTTTCTCTCCCGCAGCCCTGGTGGGTGCCGGCAGCTCTGGGGGGCTCATGGCCAGTGTTGGGGCTGAGTGCCGCACTCATGGCCCAGGCGCAGTCTCCAGCCCACCCACGCCCTGAGCTCGTCTCCCCGTCCTGCACCTAGTCGCACCCCCAGAGCTGTTTCCTAGGGGAGGAGTGCAGGTGAGATCCGGGAACTGCAGGGATCCACTTGCCCTCCTCTCTTCTCCGTCTGTCTGTCTGTCTGTCTGTCTGTCTGTCTCTGCCCTGGGTGCAGTTTGAGGTGTCACTTATTTGTCCTTCCTTTTTACAATCTCTGGGTTTGAAGCTCAGTTCTCTGAGGGGAATGAGCCACGGGCTTCGAGTTGGCACCTCGGAGGTGACAGACACAGGCTCCAGGGGCCACAGGAAATACACCATGGGCGCCCACCTCCAGACATGTGCCACGGAGTTAATGAAGCCACGGGAAGGAGCATGGGGCAGAAGCAGAGCCCTCAAGAGCAAGAAGGGCGTGGAACCAGTATTGTAGGGCCAGGGACCATGTGGAACCCGCACAGAGGGTGGCGGCTGGGATCCAGTCAGAGGGTACAGGTGAGATCCAGTCAGAGGGTGGCAACTGGGATCCAGTCAGAGAGGGCAGGTGGGATCCAGTCAGGGTGGCAGCTGGGATCCAGTCAGAGGGTGGCAGCTGGGATCCAGTCAGAGGGTGGCGGCTGGGATTCAGTCAGAGAGGGTAGGTGGAATCTGGTCAGAGGGTGGCAGGTGAGATCCAGTCAGAGGGTGGCAACTGGGATCCAGTCAGAGAGGGCAGGTGGGATCCAGTCAGGGTGGCAGCTGGGATCCAGTCAGAGGGTGGCAGCTGGGATCCAGTCAGAGGGTGGCGGCTGGGATTCAGTCAGAGAGGGTAGGTGGAATCTGGTCAGAGGGTGGCAGGTGAGATCCAGTCAGAGGGTGGCGGCTGGGATCCAGTCAGAGAGGGTAGGTTGAATCTGGTCAGAGGGTGGCAGGTGAGATCCAGTCAGAGGGTGGGATCCTGTCAGAGGATATAAGTGGGATCCAATCAGAGGGTGGCAGCTGAGATCTAGTCAGAGGGTACAGGTGGGATCTGGTCAGAGGGTAGTGGCAGCTGGGATCCAATCAGAGGATGGCGACTGAGATCGAGTCAGAGGGTGGCAGCTGGGATCCAGTCAGAGAGGGCAGCTAGGATCCAGTCAGAGGGTGGCAGCTGGGATCTGGCCAGAGAGGGCAGGTGGGATCTGGTCAGAAGGTGGCAGGTTGAGAACTGGTCAGGGGTAGCAGGCGGGATGAGACAGAGGGTGAAGGCGGGACCCCTGTGGCCTGAGGGGGATCTAGGAGGGCCCCCGGGAGGGGATGTGCCTTTGGGCGCCGGGACTATAGGGCGACCCGGGGTTTTCTTCCCTCCCCCTGCTTCTCTGATACATAAAAGGAGCATGTGTTTATTTAAAACAGCTTCCAAACTTAAACAAATAACGACAGACTGTTCAAACAGACTTCGGAAATCACCCTCATCAGGGCGCTTGGAGCCGCACCAGCCGGGCCCGAACCCGCCCGGGTCTACATGGACGGGCACTTGGGCGGGTGCCTGTGGAATCTGATTTGAGGAGGAAGGTGACCCCTGTGGGGTCAGCCCCCGGCCGCGGGCCCACCTGGGTGCATTTCTAACCTGGGTTTCTGCAGACGCAGCCAGCAGAAGGCTGGGTGCTTGGAGCGGGCGGGGCACGGCCGGTGTTGGGGAGCAGCTTGGGCCCCTCCTTCCCAGGCTCGCCCTAAATGCCAGCAGCACCCCTAGCTCCTCACAAGTTTCCAGGCTTTGCGGACTTGCCCCTTGGGGGGGAGGGGCATTACCCTGTCAGAGCTGCACAGCTGCAGGATCAGCCCCCCGGGAAAGGCGATGACCTGTCAGAAACTCCCCCCAGCCACGAGTCAGAGGTGCCCCTGGGCTCAGGGCAACAGCGAGGGGCCCATACTTGCCTGCCCATGGCCAGTACCTTCGCTTTCAAAAACTTGTTCCCCCCAGTCCTGCCCAACAAGTAGATAAGAGCTTGTGGACCAGGACAAGGCGCCGTGTTGTGTCTATTGCAACCACCTGAGTGAAAATGGGCTGGAGGGCAGCGTGTGTGGGCGCCTCAGACCACAGCAGGACCCCCTTCTGATGAACGCATGCATGGTGACCACCTCGTGCCAAGGTCACAACCCACACGCCTGAGCTTCCCCAGGGCCCTGCCTGTGTGTTGTGTGTCATTCTCACACTGTACCTACGAGTGCGTGCATGTAGAGACACGCAAAGGAAGTCACGCAGTCGATCTATACATACTTACATCTACTCAATAACCTGGGGAGGCCCCTCTGGTGCCTTAAATGCGAACACACCAAGGTTTCTAGGCCAGTTCTGCAAGAGCTGGCATATAGGAGGAATAAAACAGCAAAGGAGGGAGAATCTGGATGAAGGTTTAGGCCAAAGGCAGAATCCAAACGATGGCATCGGAAAACTTGAGTCATTGGTTGAGCAAGAACTGGTTCCACACCTACGTGTACCGAGACCACACACACAGCCCCAGGAGGCATAAGTGATCCCATCCCTCTACTGCCAAAGACACGTGATCGCTGGGCCCAGAGAAACCCCCTGGGGTCGGGTTCTGGAGAGAGGCTGGGTGGGGTGGGGCCTCCTCTGCCCCCCCGTCAGTCCCGGAGAGACCCTACCCAGTGAGAAATATCTTTTTCTCCTTTCCATGTTGAGATCTTCATCTGTATGTTAAGGTCTTCATTTAGGGAATTGACCAGATATCTGTTGAGTCCAAAGTTTGAGTCAAGCCAGTCCCCACTTCCAAATCTCAAGAAATCAATCATCAGATTGGTGCCCGGGTGATTTGAATTCTTTATTTTATTGGTATGAGGAGTCAACAATAAAGGTGCCTAATCAATTAGGCATTGGATTGGATTTTTTGTTTGGCTTTGATTTGTGAGCTACACCCAGTGGTACTCAGGCCTTACTCCTGGCTCTGTGCTCAGGGATCACTCTTGGTGGTGCTCAAGGGACCGTGTGGAATGCCGGGGATCGAACCTGGGGTGGCCACATTAAAGGCACGCATCCTACCTGTTGTATTTTCTCCCTGTTGTATTTTCTCTCCAGCCCTGTGTTTGTTGCGTTTCAGTTAGTTAGTTATGTTTTAGCCCTATGTTGTGGGCAATACTTAGGGCTTCCTCCTAGGGGGAGAGGGTCCCTCCTGGTGATGCTCACGGGTCTGCATGAAGTGTTGGGGATCAAACTAGCGTCTTCAGCCTGCAGAGCCAGTGCCACCTTCACCCTGTTTGTAAAGAGTTACAACTTGCAACAGATGTGTTGCTAGCTAAAGTTACAGAGCTTCGGGGAGACCATATGGGATGCTGGGGATCGAACCCAGATCGGCGGCGTGCAAGGCAAACGCCCTAGCCGCTGTGCTATCGCTTCAGCCCCGCCTCCAGGATTTTCTCTGGCTCATTCATTCTTTTCCTCAGCACACTGATGCTCGATAGAACACCTTGATTTTTATCTGCGGGCCCCACTCCACCATCTACACGCTTCCGAAGTCAGAGTTCTCTCTAGCCTGTGCCCTGACACACAGAGCGGCGCCCGGGAAGTATCTGTCCAATGAGGGTGAGAATAGTAGACGCGAAATCTCTACTGCCCGGGTGCAGCCGGGCTGCCCCCTGCCCTCGTCTGCCCTTCCCAGGGTGCCAGGCCAGCATAGGGCCTCCCCCCTCCCCACCCCCCATGACTATAGTAGGGTGGACACTTGTCTCTAACCCGCTGTTCCCTCTTGTCCCTGCAGGACGCCTTCGTGGAGCTGTACGGACCCAGCATGCGGCCTCTCTTTGATTTCTCCTGGCTGTCTCTGAAGGCTCTGCTCAGCCTGGCCCTGGTGGGGGCCTGCATCACGCTGGGGGCCTACCTGGGCCACAAGTGAGGGGGTCGCCGGCCGCCCCCCACACCTATGCAAAAGGTTCAGAAGGCAGCGGCCCGCCACGGCCGGCTCTGCCACACGCCACGACCGAAACAGAACACGGAGCTGTGCGCTCTCACGGACAAAAGGACACAAAGCAGAAGTCGAATCAGCTATTTACTGCCAAAGGGAAATACCATTTATTTTTTACATGATGAAGAAGAAGAAGAAGAAGAAAAAAAAAAGAAGATTTATTTATTTAAGAGAGTCCCGCGGAACCTCCGGTCTCGGGAACCCGACCCTCAGTGCCGAGGCCACCCACTTGCCGTGGGCCCCCACCCTGCCGCCCCCATCACCTGTGCCTCTCCATGTGTCGGGTGCCTGAGGAGTTGGACCCGCCAAGCACGTGACTGTGCGGACGCCGGGTTTGGGCCTCTGGGGGTTAGGAGGAGGTGTGGACACTCCTAACCAGTCTGTGCTCCCGGGGCTGTGATTTTTTTTTTCAGAGTTGGGGGCAAAGAGAGGAGAACAAAGCGAGCGCGTCTGGCTCCCGTGGTACAGACCCCATTGGAAGAAAGAATCCGGGAGCTTCCGGGGAACTTGGGGACGCGCCAACGTCTCTGCCTCCACGGAAGGTCGGCGCTGGGGGAACACGCCCTTCAACCAGAGGAGAGTATTTTTTTAAGCTACCAATTGTGCCCAGAAGCATTTTCACGATTTCTACGCGCTCATCCAGTACCTTAAGCCCTGATGTGGATTGTGCTCTATTTTGGATACGCTCCCCCGTGCAGAAACTGGCTCTGCCTGTGTGTGAAACAGAATCCTCGAGAATGCGAGGAAGGGACTGAACCCGCAACATCAGGCCGCCGCAAGTGCCTGCTTCGCCCTGAGACGCCGCCGCCGCCCCACGCCTGCCTGGCCAGGCCTTCCCGGCCCTGGCACGGAGCCCGCCCGGGCCCCCGCCAGCCCCGGGGCTTTGAAACGGAGCGGCATGGGCCCGAGGGCCTGGAAGTCCCCTCGCACCCAGAAGGCTGAGGTCGGTCGAGCTGCAGCAAGCAAGACAAGCCGGGACCTGTCACCGCAGGGGGCCAGGGGTGCACCCTTGGGGGTAGGGGGGCACCCAGGCCTGTTTCCACGTGCACCCCGGATCTGTGAGCCCAGGCTCCTAAGACTTGTCCCAGTAGGAAGAGAGAGCGAGAGAGAGGAGGTGCCCGTCTGTCTGTGTATGGGGGCACAGCCAGGCTGGGCAGACCCCCACCCGCCCCCAGCCTCCCCGGGGACATGCAGGAGGAGCCGAGTGGTCCCAGCCCCTGGCCGGCCGCTATACAGCCACAGCTGCAATTGGCAGAAACGGTGACTCTGGAGCGGGTCGTAAATCCTAAAGGAGGTGTTGAAAGAGTAGTCATGTATTCATTGACCCGTGTCTATGGAATTACGATGTAAAACATTATCTTGTCATTGTGGTTTGGTTTTATTTGAAAACATGCAGAGGGTGGGGGGTGGGGTGGGGAAAAATGTTCCAGGTGTGGAAGGTACATCCTGGGGCATTAAAAAAAAAAAAAGGAAAAAAAAAGTGGTGGAAAAGTTTAGAGAAGTAGCAAAAGCTAATAAACTAGAAAATACTTTTTCAAGTTTAGAATCCGCCTTGAGACATATGTGGAATAACTGTGGCATTATTGCATTATATACCGTTTATCTGTATTAACTTTGGAATGTACTATGTTCAATGTTTAATGCTGTGGTTGATATTTCGAAAGCTGCTTTTTTAAAAAAAATACATGCATCTCAGCAATTTTTTTTTTTTGTATTTAGTTATGGCCTCTATTTTGTTAGCCAAAAAGGAAAAAAAAAAAAGAAAAATCCATTTTCCATTTGAGGTTTCTGTCTCTTAAGTCTTTAAAAGCATTTCTGAGGTGAGAGAAGCCTGGGTCTCGGCCCTGAGGACCCCGAGCTGGCTGTCCACTGGAGAGCTTTTCCTTCACCACGTGACCTACATTTCACTGTCGACAGTTGTTTATCGTCAGGCATCTGTGATCCGCGTCCCTCTGACCGTGTTCCTTGAAGGTTCTCGTGTCCCAGGGACAAGTCGGCATTTTGCTCCCATTCTTCAGGCTTGCACACACGTTTGGTTCAACCCACGGGACTCATTCATTGGAACATCAAGGGACCACTTCAACTCACATCCTTTAGGATTGCCAACCTGTTTGGTGACACCCACGAGGTGCATTCGTTTGCAAACCCAGATGTGAAATGACCAGGGGATTCCATTCTGGCTCTGACGGTTTGGCCTTCAGAGAGGCTAGGCTGGGACGGAGACCCATCCCGAGCTCTCCGCCCGCCCCGTCGGGGCTCGTGTTCAGGTACTTCCTGAAAAGCAGCTGCATGTACTCCCTCCACCAAGCAGGAAACCGTGGGATGAAGCCAGACCTCCCAGGCGGGCCTCAGGGAACAGGACGATCAGACCTTTGTTTGAATGATCCCAATTTTTACGCAAAATATTATTTTATGAAAGGTTTACATTGTTTAAAAAAAAAAGTGATGAATATGGAATGCAAATCCTGTGCTGCTATCCTGCCGAGGTCATATTTTAATGGAGTCAGTTTGCAGTTTGCTCCGAGTGGCGAGATCCTCCAAGCTGCTTTAGACGTTAACAATGAAGAACATGGACATTTTTTTTTTAATATAAAGCCTGTTTGTCTTTGTTGTCGTTTGTTGTTTGTTGTCGTTGTTCAAACTGGGATTCGCAGAGTATTCTAAAAAATGTATATAGGGAAAAGGTCGCGGGGGTGGGGGGAGGGGTTCCTTGGGCTTGTGGGGCCTCTGTAGGGTTTTGTTCCCTGGTTTTAACGGTCAATATGTCCCGCCACCCGGCCACGGAGCTTCATAGCACGTGGCTGCACTGGCTCTTAAGAGTAGTCAGTGTTGCTTTTTTTTTATTTTCTTCTTGTTTAAAAAAAAAAGTTAGAAGCAATGAATGTATATAAAAGCCTCAACTAGTTGTGTTTTTTTTTCTCCTTAAAAAAAATTGCCTCGATTACTTTGTGGTCAACAACTTAGAATGACTCCGGCTTATTTTGTGTTGGGAAGGGGGTCCACACCTGAGTCCCACCCCCCCCACCCCCGCCAGTGGCTTGCAGATGTTGGCCAAGGTCAGGGTTAAATGGAACACCTGCACTTTCCAAATTGGGGTTCAGGGTTCCAGAAGGAGCCCCAAGGAGAAATGCACCCCAGGCCCTCCTGGAATCCCCCCCCCAGTTCTCCCAGGACAGAAATGCTTCGAGAGAGAGAGAGAGAGAGAGAGAGCCGGAATGACAGGTAGCTGGTGTGTTTTACGGCAGAGTCCACCGTCAGAAGAACACTCCGGGGACCGTGCCTGTCTGGCTCCTAGCTGGCATCAAGTCACATTTCCAGTGAAGGAAATACCTTGCTGTGGTTCCAGGCAAGAGCAAGACGAAAACACCCAACCACCGCTGCCCCAGCCTGCGTATCTCTGCATATCCACGTCCAGCCTTCTGCTGAGAGAGGACTTTTATTTCATTCATCAATGTCTGTTGCTTGTGATCTCCAGACTTAGTCCTGTCTCAGTATGGGAAATTGGGAGGTGACTGTAGTCCAAGGGGCTCTGGTCATCGGGATTGAGCCGTAGCGAGCAGGGCTGTCCCGGCACACAGCTGGCTGTCCGCGAAGGGTCTGCTGAACAAAAATTGCAAGTAGTCCATATTGCAACTCAACTTCGGTAAAAACGACTAACTTATAAACATGAACCTCAAGTCTAGTTTCGACCACACTTGAAAGTCAGTGGCTGTTTTATACTTCCTTATCACATATAGTTAGTAATGTATACCTGCTCTATCAGAAAAAAAACACAGGAAGGCCTGGAAATCTAAGCCATACTAAGGAAATTAGGGAGTCGGCTGAAATTCTATTCTCGTCTTATACTGGGGTGTCTTTTGCAGCCCAGACAAATGTGGTTACACACTTCTCTCGAAATACAAGTCTGCATTGTCAGGCGTATGAGGGTTCCAATCAGATCTTTATTGTTAATCCATTTGGATCTTTCAGGGATTTTTTTTTTTAATTATGATGGGACAAAGGACATTTGTGGCGAGGGTGGAGGGAGAAAGAATTTTTCAAATGAGCAAAACATTCCCAAGATTGAATCAAGATGTGGAGAAGAGCCAGGACTGGGCTGTGGAAACAGAGGCAAGTGGGACCCAGGCCGGGGCCGGGCCGAGGACTTCACGAGGGGCACCGCCCTGTGGTCGAGAACCAGTCTCAAGCTCGATGCAGCGATGTGTGCTAGAGACATCAGTGTCAGCCAGAGCCCGGCCTGGTGTGCTGTGCAGATGGGCTGAGACTCTGAAACGTGAACCAGCCAGGCTGCAGCGTGGATGAGTGTAACGGCCGATCCGGTGATCCAGCTCAGAACCCACAGGATGTTTCGCGACCTTCGTCTCATCGGTAGGAACGTCTTCTTCTAGATATTTATGATGCACAAGCCAGGACTGGGATGGGGTGGAGGGAGAAAATGGTGTGAAGCTGACTTGGATAAGTGATCCATCCTCCTCCAAGTCCTGTCTTTACCCAAAGATTCTGTTCCATGTCTGTGCTCCTCGGACCGAACTTGGACAGCCATGAAATATGCATCCCACTGGGCACAAAGAAAACCAGATGGAGGGGGCGTGGCTTTGCATCAATTCATCAAGACCACCCCAGAAAAATCACTCTAAGCCCACATCCTATTGATGACAAGGTTGTTTTGTGTGCCAAGGTAAACCTAGCAGACAGAAACCCGGTAGACTGTGGAAAGGCTTCAGCAAACACCAGTAGTGTTTCTTAATAGGACTGCGGTGTAGACCCTTTGTAATGCCGTCTCCCCAAATAAATCTCTGGGGAACTCTGCATGGGCTTTCCAGCTAGCTCATTTCATTAAGTGTCCCCCACCTCCCCCGTAGCCTTGGAAGGAGTGACAGCCCGTCAGATTTCTTTGGGGTCAGCACTAGTAGCTGTGTTTATTATACTGTCTTCGTGAGTTTTCAACCAAGTTTTGCTTTTGTGTTAACTGGGATGATTTCTGTTTTAAATAAAGTAAGTGTATCAAAAATGCTTCTGTATTGAAAACTTTTGTTCTCAAGACGCACGCGTTTCCCGCCCACGAGTGCGTTTTTAAGATCGATGCTTCCTAGAGATGGGTGATATGCTGCTGCCTCGTATACACCAAAACCCGTGGGAAGAGAGTCCGTCCCATCCTGTAGATGAAGTGGGCCGGGCTCAAGGCACTCTGAAGGTGTATGTCGTTGCAAAGAGTCACATTGCCAGGAAACTCTCCTTTTCTCTCCAGTCAATATTGTGAAGGAAGTTGAAGTACAATACGAGATCATGGTTGTGCTCAGGCATTGTTTATAACATGATGGCATACTTTTGCCTTACCATTCATTGTCATTAAATACGGCTTTGTAAAACCTAAACAAGCCCATAGAGAGAGCAGCCAGGCACCTCACTGCAGCTGCCTCGGGCAGAGACCCTGGGGGTTTAGCTCACTAATCCTCCTTCCTCAGTGCAAACTGGACTGGTCGAGTTCCACCACCAGGAAGGCCCTTGTTGTCCTGGGGTGGACAGGCAACTTCTGTGTTCCTCAAGATAGTTTGAAGGGGGATAGAAAGGATCCAAGAGTTTTGGCTTGAAGTGGCTTTGGGGGATGAACAAGGCATAACAACCCCATGTGGCAAGGTTTCTCTTTTCCTCTCCACTGATTCCCTAAGCATACACCTTCCACTTGGTTTTCTCTGACCCAGCAGGACGTCTGCTGCATCCGGCAGATGCCAACGCAGCACACACACCAATGCCACTGCTCGGAAGGTAAGTATTGGCATCACCTGTTTACAAAACAGACACAGGTGGGAATGAGCAGAAGTCCCAGTGGCAGGATTGGAACCATGGTCCGGCTGCCTCCAAAGTCTATGAGCCGTGTGTTCACCAGTGGTATTCAAAGAGTAGCCCAGGGAGTCCAAGGCATAGACAGGCAGGGGCCGTTGAAAGGACTCTGTGTTCTCAGTGTCCTGGGCTCTCTGTCATAAACTGAGCTCGGGCCTGTCCAAGTAACGCTTCCCTGTTACTCTCGGCCACTGGTCCCATTTCAGGATCGTGCTGTGAGCTCCCAGGAACCAGTAGCCAGAGCTGCCTCCTACTGGCCAGCAGCTGGCCTTACCCCTCTCTCCACCTCCCTGTTGGGAACTTGAAATTGATTGTGGGCAAATGTTTCCACCATGGAACTGAGCAAAACCAAACTTTTCTCCCTGTTGTGGTTCTCCCCCTAACCCCCCCGCCCTGTTAATTCACTTACCTGCACACCCTTGGGTATTATCTTAGGGGATTAAAAACTCTGGTTACCGAAAAAAAATTAACTCTTTATTAGACCCTGTTAAATAAGGGGGGAAATCTATTTATGACTCTTTTATCCCAACTTGTTCAGTTTTAATAACATTGAGGGAGTGACTGGAGTCAGGATTGCTGGTACATATTTTTAAATGTGATTTTAGAACATAAAATTTCTTTAGAACGTAAAATTTAGTACGGCAAATTTCTTCCACTGCTGTGCGATGTGGGAACAACTCACTTCAGAGCTTATATCTGTAAAAACAAACCAATAACTGACTTGATGGAGAATTAGCTCTTTCAAGTAACAGTATTGCTATTTATAGAGATAACTGGCCTTCTTAGGGGGAGGAATAAATCAACTATTGATCTCATTAAGAAGTATACTTCCAAAAAATATATAATTAACAAAAGTATACATAGCTATGCATTCTTACTAGTTAGGTAAATTAAAAAAGAACAATAAAAGTTGTAATCACTCTATCCACTAAAGAAAGAAAGTTAAATCCATGGTTAAAAATGTTCAGGGGCCAGAGAGATAGTACAGCAGATATTGTGCTTGCTTTGCATAAGACCGACCCAGGTTCGACCCCTGGCACCCCACCTGGTCCCCTGAACTCGCCAGGAGTGATCCCTGAGTGCAGAGTTAAGAGTAAGCCCTGAGCACCCCTGGATATGGCCCAAAGATAAAAAGGAAAAATCAGAGCACATATAGCTGGTAAGGCAGTTGCTTTGCATGCAGACCCACCCAGGGTGGACCCCCAACACTGCGTATAGTCACCCAGCACTGCCAGGAGCGATCCCTGAGTGCAGAGCCAATAGTAAACCCGGAGCTAGTCGTAAGCAAGGTGGGAACCCCAAACAAAACAAAATTCATAGACTTGTGGGAAATTATGAGTTGAGCAATTTTAGACATTTGCTGCAAGAAATAGCATAACATGATAAAAAATGGGAGTAGAAGTATGAATTTGAAGAGTGGAAGTTCCAATGTGGGATGAGAATATGACTCAAGTAATAGGGAACTTACATGTGTTAGAACATACATGGCCCCATCAGCTGTGTCCCCCTGCCACCAAATGGAACAATGTAAAGTGGCCAGGTGTTAAAAATATCAATTGTTCCTGGATTTTTCATGCAGATAATGTTGCCTGTCAGTTCATGGTTGTATTTGATGCCTTTGTCTATAAGTAGAAGCTGATGTAACAAGTTTAGCTTACATTATCAATTATTAAAATATCTCTTGAGATAAACTTATGAGTCTGTGTTGAAGTTCTGTTTCAAATGGGATCTCTAGGAAGAGCTTCCCAAATATTCAGCCTCTTCTGGGTTCAA